AAGGGGAGAAAATGAGCCAGGTGTAAAAATGAAGATGATTTGTTTTGACATTTGTGTAACGTTTGACGGCTAAGTCAAATATGCAGTAGCGTAGACAGGGGGGGGGGGGGGGGTTAGGGGGGGTCATAACCCCTCCCCCCATAGACCCCTCGGTATATAGAAAAAGTTTGAGGGGGAGGGGTGCAAAATCGAAAGTTTGAGGGGGGGGGGTGCAAATCGAAAGTTTGAGGGGGGGGGTGCAAATCGAAAGTTTTCCCCGGGTAAAAATTGGAACCCCCCCCCCCCCCCTTGAGACGATCCTGGCTACGCCACTGCAAATATGATATTTATGTTAAGGTTGACACGTGTGTCCCATTTCATATCTGTATTACGTTGGATAATTGCATTAAGTATGACATATGTGTGAAATTTGATGTCTGTGTCAAGTTTAGTATTGGCATCAACTTTGACATCTATATCAAGTTTAGTATTGCCATCAAGTTTGACATGTGTGTCAAGTTTAGTATTGCCATCAAGTATGACATCTGTATCAAATTTGATGTCAGCGTCGAGTTCGACGTTTGTGACACCCCCTGCAGCTGTTAGCCTAGAGTCCCACAGCGCCGACCACGCAACTCACCGAAAGTCTGCAGGTTAAGACCACGACCTCCCCCTCTTGGTAGTAGGACTGTCCGTCGTAGGTTACATGGTAGGGTGCGGCTGAGATGTTCTGGGTCAGGACTTGCGCTGGTCAGGGGTGGGGGTGGTGGGGGGTGGGGTAACAAATGAAGTTTATATTATAGGCGTTATTGATAAATAGAAGATAAAAAAATAGAAGTGTTTTTTATAAACTTAAAGTGCATTATCTGTGTAACGGTGTGTGTTCTTGTGTGTGATATTGTGTTGTGAGTGATGATACAGTTAGTACAGTTTTTCTTAAGGTATAAAATATCCTTTAAGAATATAAAATAGAGTTCATCTGTTTCTTGACCTCTATGAAGGGCTAGGCGTTTTTACTTTCCCTAACGTGAGTCAGGTACCCATCAGGGTTTGAATTGGATTAGGACGCTCTCCAGACTCAAAGCTGGAGGGGTATCAGAACTTACGATAGTCAGTCGAGCGCTCTACCACTAGACCACGCGTGATGGCGCGTGTCATAAAAAAACTAGCGCTAGAGTAGTCGCTACTGGAGCGTGAAGTATTTTATACACGAGCTGTGTTACAACAGACGATGATGTGGTGACATCATTGAATGATGTTGTAACGTCATTGGCTTGCTAGACATCTAACTAGCTTTAGTACAGGGGGGGGGGAAGTATGGTAGATGGTATGTGTTATGTGCCAGTTCTGTGTGCAAGTATGTTGTGAGTGAAATGTATGTTGTGTGTAGGTGCGGTACTGTGACGTCACGGTGTGTGGGTGTTTGTGTGTCTAGACAGATGTGGTGAGTTTTAATTGGTGTAAGGTAGACATAATGACCAATGACAAGATTGATGAAATGATTGATAGATAAAATTATTGATGAAAAGAATTATTGTGGTAAAATATTATGACACGTTATCTATTATATAACGATTGTTGATGAAAACGTGCTGTCTAGATTGGATTATAGACACTTGTTGTAGACAAACTGAATGTGAACACACTGATTGTAAACGCCATTATGATAGACACAACGATTGTGAACGCTAAGGATTGTGGATATAATGATTTTAGTCACAAAGATTGTATACACAATGGTTGTAGATATGGAAACGATGATTATGGACACAGTGATTGTGAAAATAGCGGTTGCAGACAGAATGATTCTGGACAAGATGATTGTGAAAATAACAGTTGCAGACTGAATTATTGTGGCCACGCTAATTATGGAGATAAAAATTGTGTAATCAATGATTGTGAAAATAACAGTTGAAAATGGAATGTTTATGGACTCGATGATTGTGGACACAATGATTGTAAAAAACAATTAGAGACTGAATGTTTGTTCACATGATGATTGTGGACGCAAAGATTGCGTAGATAATGATTGTAAAAATAACGGTTGCAGACTGAATGATTGTGGGCATGATGAATGTGGACACAATGACTATTTACACAATGATTGTGTACAGAATTATCGTAGACAACGATTCCAATCTACGTTTTTGTAAAAAAAAAACATCAACTTACGTTTCGGCGTGAGTGTGAGTGAGGCGGAGAGGGTGGGGTATGTGCCCGTGGTGGGGTCCTGGTAGGTCACGCTGCACTTGTAGACCGCCGCGTCTTTGCACGTGCCGTCGCTCACCAGTACTTCCAGCCGCATGTTGCGGTTGTTGCTCCTCTGCTGACCGGTGGTGGTGATGGTCCAGAGTCGGCCGGGCGGAATGTTCTGGGGAGGGTAAAGAGGGGGGGGGGTGATTTGATGAAAAACAATATAAGGTGTGTGTGGGGGGGAGGGGGAGGGGTAAGTTGGTTAGGGTAGATGTGATCGATAACAACAAGGGGGGGGTGTAGGGTTTGGAATGGGGGGGGGGCGGTGCTTGGTTTGGGATGGGGGCCGATGTAGGGTTTGCAATGGGGGGGGGGGGAGGGCGGTGTAGGGTTTGGAATGGGAGGGGGGGGGGCTTGATAGATTTGGTAAAAAAATCGTGTGTGTTGTGCAAGGTGGGGGGGGGAGGTTATATTTGATGAATAGCAGCCTCATCTGCGAGGGGGTGATGGTGAGGGGTAGATTTAATGATTAAAAAACCCCGGAATGAGGATTGGGGGGGGGGTAGATTTAATAAATAACAAACTTATAGGATATGGGGGGGGGGCGAGTAGATTTGATAAATAAATACTTTGGGGAAGGTGTTGTGCGGGTGGGGGTAGTTTTGATGAATGACAACCTAGAAGGTGGAGAACAGACTGGATGAGTTACACAACTAATAACGAGAAAAAACAATTAAAACAGACAGGATGTTCTCAATGAAAGATAGAGCTTCATTCAGAAGTAACGGTGTAACTAATGTTATCAGGAGAATTAAGTAACAATAGGTCTAGTATTGTCAAATGTCATTTGTAACAGTAACTGATATTATAAAAAGCTATAAGTAACAATGGATCCAATACTATATGGAGCAATTTTATACGAAACGTCATGTATTTCTAAAAGAAATATTGTAAACTGTTCAAGTTTTTATTCCTTTTGTTGCGACCGATTGACTGGACCTTTTCTAATCAGTTATGAAGACAAAGCAGTTCTAAAGGATTTAATTCCACTTGTATAATTCATTGCAAACACCGGAGGCGTCGCGAGGCGAGAGCAGGGGGTCCGGACCGCACCCGGTAACACCATTTAGGGGGGGGGGGGCTGTAACCAAGACAACAAATTGCAAATTATATAGAAGAGAAATACTTTTTTTTGCCAGTTCAAATTATTGATTAATTAGAGTTAAAACTCCTTAAGGTGTAAGTTAAATATTACATCCTGGTGGGTGGGAGGGGGGATGGAAAGAGGGAATGACACCATGACGTAAACTTGCTAACTATAGAGAAAAAAATATTCTACGCCCAGCTGTAATAATAACAGAAAAGATAAACATCGTTTCTATTAACTGTAAACACGTTACAGCGATCACACGGGGGGGGGGGGGGTCGAGAGAGAGAAAGGGAAGGTAACACCCACTGCAGAATTTAAATAGGAAAACAAAAGTTTTATTACATATTTTAAAAAACTGTTGTCAAGGGTGAGGGTGACATCATATCTAATAATTTACTATAAAGTGATTCTTCTGGACACCTATAGTATATATATATATATATATATATATATATATATATATATATATATATATATATATATATATATATATATATATATACATATATATACATATATATCTGATACCTTTTTTGGTGTGGAGGAACACCATTAGGCTACGCACCGGGTGACACCCGACCTAGCTACGCCACTGGCAAACAGTATCCCATTTGCTATCGTACCCTATTAACCCCCCCCCCTTCCTTTCCCCCTTAAAATCCTAGCGCCTGCTATCAGCTTACAGTCGCTCCGTTAGTCGAAGGTGCCCGTGTTTGTTGAAGACGTTTATAAATACCAAGTTAGACAAACACACCGAGGGTCCGACCATAAAATCGATCTCAGACATGAAACGCGCAACCTTCTAAAATTTTAATTCGCTGCCATATAATAATGTCCTCAACAGTGTCGAGAGGTATTTTTAAAAAAAAATGTCAAGTGTTGGCCAAGAAATCTCACCAGAGTCAGTATGGAATAAATCATACGTTAGATCTTACCCAGGTAAAAGGTTAAACATTGTCAAACGAGATTTGGTTCTCAAAGACGTAAAAAAAAAAAATGGCTGCGCAGTTATTACAACACACCTTACGTTCCTGATGTGGGTTTGTTAGTCAAAGGTTAACAATTAAAAAAAAAATCTCACACGTATGTGGATAAACATATTCAATACATTTTTTTTTTTTTAAAACTTGAATTTCAAAAAGTTGTTCTTTATCTGGGAGTCATGCATGACCTGGCACACACCATAGGGAGAAATTCCTGAATGAAATAACAGATTTAAAATCATCAGCCCGGAACGAAGGGGGTGTGATCCAGTGTAGGGAACTTACGTCTGATCTGAGACTTAGACTAACAGGAGGGTTTTGGGGGGAGGGTGGTGGAGGGGGAGTGTTGAGAGGGTTGGGGTGGGGGGAGGAGGAAATCAACAGGTATTTATTATTTTATGAAAGATATGTTTAGCGTACATTGAAAGCGAGTTTTGTTAGTTAGATGGTTGGTTATGTGACAGAAAATAGCACAGATTATGTGTATGTGTGTGTGTGGGGGGGGGGGGGGAGAGGGGACAACTTGTGATTGTGTTGGTGGTTTAAGAACATGACGTAGACTAACATATTGGACACACACGGGACATATATCCGCATAGTGTGCACACATACGACATAAATCCTTATGTTGTATACACACAGGACAAATATCTAAATGTGTGTACACATCAAGACATATATTGTCATGTTGTACACACAATGTATATATATATATATATATCTATATATCTATATCTATATATATCTATATCTATATATATACATATATATATATATATATATATATATATATATATATATATATATATATATATATATAGATATATATATATATATATATATATATATATATATATATATATATATATTTATATCACTGTGTGTAATACTATGACATATATTGACATGTTTTACATACACATGACATATATCCATGTATAAACACATGACATAAAAATTGATGCATGCATATCCAGATGAAATAGAACATCACAAAGAGAAGCGCAAATAGCGGTGATGACACCAAAGTTGACATTTACTGACAGCTGACACGAAAAGTTGACAGTTGACATGAAAAGTTGACAGCTGACATTTACTGACAGCTGACATGAAAAGTTGACAGTTGACATGAAAAGTCCTACCGAGCTTGTGAGGGGTATAATCGGGTTGACCAAGGCCAGATTCAAGAAGGCGGAGTCGGGCAAGGTCCGGTCGATGGTTAGGGTAGTGATCTGAGTCACCGTCCCGGGGAGGGCAACCCGCTGGGCGTCACAGGTGACCAGGAATGGGGTCGGGCCATCGATGACCGATATGTTGACCACAGGAAGTTGCTGACCAAGTGCTGAGGGCAGAAAATATTCAGGGTTAAAACATAAAACATAATACATAATGAGGATATTTTATAATGAGTCGATGGTGTTTTACTTTTTAATTTATCGTTGTGGGCTGTTTGAATCTGATATATATATATGGTTCCATGACAAATGATCTCAGGACAAATGATCTCAGGAGAAATTATCACAGACAAAATATCGCAGACAAAATATCTCACAGCAAATCTTAATAGTGCTTGATTTTAGTAGATCTGAACATTTTCTTTTATTGACTGTCATATGCAGAGCCGGCGTTAGGAATACGCGGGGCCTAGGGCCAACTATCCGCGCGGGGCCTGCTTTTTTCCATTATATATATATATATATATATATATATATATATATATATATATATATATATATATATGTGTGTGTGTGTGTGTGTGTATAGTCCTATATAATATGCATACACACATAATAAAACATAAATGTTTTGGAGTCTATAAGACTTTACTAACAGATGTTTACCTCTCCCACGTTTCAACCCAATGTTCTTAGGGGTGGGGGTGGGTGGGTGCGGACCGCACCGGGTGACAAAACATATACAAAAAATGATAGTTCCACTTTAAAAAGTGGTTAATTAGAGTGTTAAATAGTCTTTTAAGAGCAAATTTGATAAATTCCGACAAGGGTGGAGAGGGGGGGGGGGGGTGACACCATGACATAAACCTGCAATTGATAGAGAAAACATACTACATCAACACTTTTAACTTTCTTCAAAAAAATAATAATAAATCACTCTGTCTAATGCCCCTTGATATAGATCCTAAGGGCCTCCTACCCCCCTCATCGCCCTCTTCCCACCCCTCTGCACGCAACTGAATGTTAATTTTGTTATACCAAGACAAGTAGGGCTTCATATACGACATCTACAACAAGAAAGTCAGGATTAGCGTTCATCAGGTCACTAACTGTCTACTACAGGCATCCCTCTGCTCACTAAAAGGACGTCTTCATCGGTCCGCATACAATAGAGTATATTATTACCTGCTTCCCAAATTTACATCCCACGTCAGGTCGGGTGCTGATTCGCATCCAACAATCTCCAGTCAGCTCAGGTCAAATGCCAGGCGACCGTACCCTACACAAAGAGGAGTTGTGTGACACTGTTTTTGTATAGAATTACGGCCAACATCAATCGTGGCCTCAGTTATAACAATCAACAGCTTCGGCATTCGACCATTTAGTTTTCCCCATTGAATTCAGCAACAATTTATTTAAGTTTACAAACTAATTAATATAACAATGACAGTGCTGAAGCGCGGGGCCCCTTCAGGCGCGGGGCCTAGGGCGGCCGCCCCGTTTGCCACCCCCTAACGCCGGCTCTGGTCATATGGTTTTGTTTACTATGTTTAGCATTGTTTATTGGCCTATTTAATAATTGCAGGAAATGTTTGCCGTATAAATTTGTCATATTGCACTAAACATTTTAAAATTAAGATTACTAATATAGTATGCAAAGATTAAAGAAATGTTTCGATAGACAGCGTAGGTTGGCTTGACAAACATGAGACAATCCTACCATGTCAGGTGGACGAAAATAGATCAAAGGGAATAAAATAACAAAAAAGACACACCTTCGTATCGTTTTGATGGCAGTGACATGCCTTAAGGGAAAGACCTCCGCCCTCCATGGACAATACAACTAGCATCTAAAGTCAATAGTTATGCGTCAGTCACACCTTAGTGATCAGGTGACAAATGCTTATTCAAACGACAACGGTTGTCGCGGAGCTAAGTCTGTTTTACTGTGCATGCAAAGAAAGAGTATGTGTGGTGATCACTCAGCTATGGCCTCTTTCGTTACCTAGCAGAAAGGTTTTAGGACATTGGTTTCTGGTGAATTTATGTTTATAAAAGCCATAAGTGGAGCAGCAGGCAAAGAGATTTGGAAATCTGAAGTTAGGACATGTCGAGCAAGAGTTCACACAATAGATGATCACATAGTATTGGAGAGGTGTGATCATAACGATGTACCTGCCAGCAGAGAAATTTAAACGTTATGTTTGTGTTGATAATGCAATAAAAACAATAGTTTTACTTTACGAACCTGAAGACCCATTTAAATTTTTTGAAAAATATTTCGCGTGTTTTGAACATTACTCTTGTTTTGTTTAGCTACCTTTACTTTATTTGTTTTATACATTATTCTTTATTATACCTTTCAGGCTAAAGGAGTAAGTTTGTTTAATGTATACTTTTTCAAATAAAATGCTTTTACAAACATTAAGTTTAATTTTTTGATGCTTTGTTAATTTTATAACATTTATTTTATTTACGATTATTATGCGTAAAAAGGTAAACAAAACCATATTGACAGTCAATAATAAAAAAGGGTCAAACAAACCAAAATCATCATACATAGTATTAACATTTTGCTGTGAGATGTTTAGTCTGAGATATTTTGTCTGAGATCATTTGTCTAGATAGCCTATATTTTGTCCTGGAATCTTGTCCGTGAGATCATTTGCTCTTAAGATAATTTGTCCATATATATATATATATATATATATATATATATATATATATATATATATATATATATATATATATATATATATATATATATATATATATATATAATTTGTGGACGTCATAATGTCATAATTGGATGCCCCCTATAGTTTGCGATTTGATTTTGTCAATGAAGATGATGGAACTAGCGGCTAATGACCGTTCAAATACGACAGCGTGAAATCACGACACAGAAATAAGGTGCGCCAGAGCGAGATAATACATATCGATATCGTGATATTTGTACATGGTGGAACCCCTGACGTCACGACACACATACGAACGCCACCAATACAGACATGCATTGATCGTGTACATACGTGCTGTGTAGAACACAGTTTTTGTTTCTATATCGTAGCCCAGTTCTTCACTTGTGACTGTAATGATGGTACGTCATGTGATATATTATAGATCTACTCTAGGCAGACTATAGGTCTGGTTCAAAATATTTTAAACCTAATTTAGTCCAACAAGTGTATTGTAACCTAATTTAGTCAAATGTGTTGCAACCTAATTTAGGCTAATGTATTGTAACCTAATTTAGTAAAATGTCTTGTAACCTAATTTAGTCAAATGTGTTGTAACCTAATTTAGTAAAATGTCTTGTAACCTAATTTAGTCAAATGTGTTGTAACCTAATTTAGTCTAATGTGTTGTAACCTAATTTAGTCAAATGTGTTGTAACCTAATTTAGTCAAATGTGTTGTAACCTAATTTAGTCAAATGTGTTGTAACCTAATTTAGTCAAATGTGTTGTAACCTAATTTAGTCAAATGTGTTGTAACCTAATTTAGTCAAATGTGTTGTAACCTAATTTAGTCAAATGTGTTGTAACCTAATTTAGTCAAATGTGTTGTAACCTAATTTAGTCTAATGTGTTGTAACATAATTTAGTCAAATGTGTTGTAACCTAATTTAGTCTAATGTGTTGTAACCTAATTTAGTCAAATGTGTTGTAATCTAATTTAGTCTAATGTGTTGTAATCTAATTTAAACTAATGTGTTGTAACCTAATTTAGGCCAATGTGTTGTAACCTAATTTAGTCCAACAAGTGTGCTTGAACCTAATATAGACCAATATGTATTGTAAACTAACTTATGATGTAGCATTACATTGGCCAACTTATGATGTAGCCTAACATTGGCCAACTTATGATATAGCCTAACATTGGCTAACTTATGATGTTGCCTAACATTGGCCAACTTATGATGCAGCCTAACATTGGCCAACTTATGATGTAGCCTAACATTGGCCAACTTATGATGTAGCCTTACATTGGCCAACTTATGATGTAGCCTAACATTGGCCAACTTATGATGTAGCCTAACATTGGCCAACTTAGGATGTAGCCTAACATTGGCCAACTTATGATGTAGCCTTACATTGGCCAACTTATGATGTAGCCTTACATTGGCCAACTAATGATATGTGCTAACATTGGCCAACTTATGATGTAGCCTAACATTGGCCAACTTATGATGTAGCCTTACATTGGCCAATTTATGATGTAGCCTTACATTGGCCAACTTATGATGTAGCCTTACATTGGCCAACTTATGATGTAGCCTAACATTGGCCAACTTATGATGTAGCCTAACATTGGCCAACTTATGATGTAGCCTAACATTGGCCAACTTATGATGTAGCCTAACATTGGCCAACTTATGATGTAGCCTAACATTGGTCAACTTATGATGTAGCCTAACATTGGCCAACTTATGATGTAGCCTAACATTGGCCAACTTATGATGTAGCCTAACATTAGCCAACTTATGATGTGCCCTAACATTAGCCAACTTATGATGTAGCCTAACATTAGCCAACTTATGATGTAGCCTAACATTAGCTAACATATGTTACAACATTACTTTGGCCCATGTGGTAAAATGGACTTGTACATTTGTATTAATTCATGAATGTCCCTATGTTGGTTATGTTACCATTAATGACCATGTTTGTTATTTCAGTATGCTAATGACCTTTATATTTCGCGACCAAAAGACTTTTAAATTGTCATCTTAAACATAAATAAATATATGTCGACTAAAAGACATTTAAACTGTTATCTCAAATATAAATGTATGTATCGACTAAAAGACATTTAAAGTGTCATCTCATATATAAATGTATGTGTCGACTAAAATACATTTAAATTGTCATCTCAAATATAAATGTATGTGTGAAGTCCTTACGTCATAAATCATAAAAAATTGTGCACCTATAGAATTGTGCACCACCTAGTAATGTGCTTCATCAATATTGTGCACTATGAACCAGTCTGGGTGACATTCTAGTATGTACACAGTATCCTGTATCACGTGATCAAAGAAACAAAATGAGGGAGTGGCAGACAGGTAAGACATTGTGTATGGTGTATGTGCCAGACAGGTGGGACATTGTGTCAGGTGTATGTGTCAGTATGTGTATGAAACATTATCGTCATACCTTTTTACCTGAGGGAGGGAGGGAGGGCCTGGGAGGGGGGGGGGGGGGGTCGTTTAGTAACTACACGCTTATCTACAGATTAAAAAAAAGAATACCATATTAGTCCGTTTTAAGTTGCTTTGGACAATTTAAAACATAATGTTGTTAAAAGCATTCGAAAGCAAAAAAAAAAAAAAAAAAATTCAATTGACGTTTTTCTATGCTACAAAGATGACCAACTTCTGAGGTTTTTAAATTGCAATTAAATATTTACAAACCATAGAGACGGGTTTAGTGACGGCTATTAGGGGCAGATAATTTAGTTTGAAACGATTTTAAACTTAGGGGAGGTAACTAAGAGGAGGCTGCTTTCACGAGGGGGTGGGGCAGGGGTTGGGGAAAGGAGGGTTTTAGTGTTTTAAAGCACATATTTTCAGTGGCAGCATTGGTGCTGTCGAATTCACACATTTTGAATTACTGAAAGTTGAAAAAACAACTAAATAGCGGCGTATGATACGCCGCGGGTCGGCTCGTTTTAGGTTATGTTCGTATGATCATACTTGTGTTATCCAGTAGTTTATACATTAGGCAACTAATTGTTTCGAACTTAAAGCCCTAAACACCTTCATACGTTTCATGTACATTTCTGACGATATAATATAACGACAAGTCTAAAAATTATGACGATATAATATAAAGAAAGTATAAAAAGTTGACGATATTATAATATAACGGAAGTATACGAAACTAACGATATAATGTAACGAAAAGTCTACAAATCTGCTATATAATATAACGAAAAGTCTACGAATCTGCCTATATAATATACCGAAGTCTACAAATCTGCTATATAATATAACGACAAGTCTACAAATCTGCTATATAATATAACGACAAGTCTACAAATCTGCCTATATAATATAACGACAAGTCTACAAATCTGCTTATATAATATAACGACAAGTCTACAAATCTGCCTATATAATATAACGACATGTCTACAAATCTGCTATATAATATAACGACAAGTCTACAAATCTGCCTATATAATATAACGACAAGTCTACACATCTGCCTATATAATATAACGACAAATCTACACATCTGCCTATATAATATAACGACAAATCTACACATCTGCCTATATAATATAACGACAAGTCTACAAATCTGCCTATATAATATAACGACAAGTCTACATATCTGCCTATATAATATAACGACAAGTCTACAAATCTAACGATATAATATAATGACAAGTCTACAAATCTGCCTATATAATATAACGAAAAGTCTACAAATCTGCTATATAATATAACGACAAGTCTACAAATCTGCCTATATAATATAACGACAAGTCTACAAATCTGCCTATATAATATAACGACAAGTCTACAAATCTGCCTATATAATATACCGAAGTCTACAAATCTAACGATATAATATAACGAAATGTCATATAACGATATAATATAACGAAATGTCATATAACGTAATAATATAACGAAATGTCATATAACGATATAATATAACGAAATGTCTAGACATTTGGCACTTACCTGCATGAACTAGCACAACAACAATTAAAGAGACCACGATCATTGTTTTGTCCGATCTGAAACTTGAACACTTGAAGTATTTGAACTACACAGAACGAATCAACCAACACATGTTTGTATATCCGTATTGCACATTGTACCAAATCCGATACACAGCCGGATAAAAAATCTTTCACAACTTTATCCGGGTGCGGCTGTATGTAAAAACGTCGTTGTTCAAATGACGTCAGATTTTGCCGACAAGGATTCGAATTCTACCCGGACGAACGTCCGTTTTCCTCCATCTAAAATCAGACCCGACGTCAGGTAAGCCACACGGGGAATGCCAGGAACTGGAAACCCAGAAGATTCCGGTTGGGGAGTCGGGGCGGGGCGGGGGTGGTGGAGCGTCACGCTTGGTTGAACCTGAAAGGACTGGGCGTCAGCGGGGATCTACGGCTTAGTGTACCAGGACATGGCACTGTGGTCACATGACCAGTTCGAAAAGGGTAGAGCATGAACTTTAACACGCAATGACAGAAGGGGAGGGAGGGTGGGGGGGTTAAAGCTGGCGAGGGGGGGGGGGGGTAGGACCCGTATGACTGGTATAGCTCGTGGACGGGATGGGAGGGGTGGGGTTGTTTATAGCAAAAGTGTTTGAATGAAATTAAATTCATATACAATAATTATAATAGTAATATATTTTGGACAAAAATATAACTTAAAGGGTAAAGTGCTTATTTCGGTCTACTATGAAGAAATAAACATCGTGATTATTTCGGTCAACTATCATCTACATTAAGGTAAACATAGTAAGGCAGATAACTCTTGACTAACTGAAGTCAATGTTTTTTCATTGTCCCTTCCCTTGGACAACCATGCTATTTGTTGGCAAATGTTTGTAACCGGAACATATTTTATGTTGTTGTAGCAATTGAATATTTTAAAAATTCATAAAAAACGTTTTAATAACAAGCTTTTATTTAATAATGCACCAAAAAAAAAAGAAAAAATTATACATTACTATTTAAATAACTATAAATAACCATTTTCAAATCATAAAATTGAATTATTCTTTAAACAGAAGGAAATGTTTTTTGCAAAAAAGCGCGTTAATGGTTTGGCATTCTAATGTTGATGGTTAAAAAAAAAATGAAACAAAAGTTAAATAAAAATTTAGGAGAGATAATTGTTGTCTGTGATGACTGTTTTTTCATTGTTGCTTCCCTTAGACCACAATCATGAGATTTCAAATTGCATTGTAAAAAAAAAAAAAAATTGTAATTTTTTTATGTGTTGAAAATACACCATTATGCTTTTTAAATTGATAGACTATAAATTTAATCCTATTTTTAGATGAAGAGGAAAAGAAAAAAAGAAAAAAAAAATTAAACAAAAGTTATATAAAAATTAAGGGGAGATAATTGTTGTATAACTGTGATGACTGCTTTTTCATTGTTGCTTCCCTTAGACCACAATCTCGAGATTTCCAATTGCATTGTAAAAAAAAAAAAATTGTAATTTTTTTATGTGTTGAAAATACACCATTATGCTTTTTAAATTGATAGACTATAAATTTAATCCTATTTTAGATGAAGAGGAAAACAAACGAAAAAAAAAAAAAAAAAAAAATTAAACAAAAGGTAAAAAAAATTAAGGAGAGATAATTGTTGTCTTACTGTGATGACTGATTTTTCATTGTTGCTTCCCTTTGACCACAAACTCGAGATTTGAAATTGCATTGAAAAAAAAGAATAATTATAATTTAAAGATTCTTGAAAATACACCGTTATGCTTTTTAAATTGATAGACTATAAATTTAATTCTATTTTTAGATGAAGAGGAAAAAAAAAATTAAACAAAAGTTAAGTAAAAATTTAGGAGAGATAATTGTTGTATAGCTGTGATGACTGCTTTTTCATTGTTGCTTCCCTTAGACCACAATCTCGACATTTCCAATTGCATTGTAAAAAAAAAATTGTAAATTAAATAAACATTAAAAAGGTCTTTAGTATTCGTTTTACATTTTTAAACTGAATGAATGAATAACTAAAAATAGTAAAATACACAAAAAACCACAAATATATAATACTTACTTTTATATTAAATAATCAGGCGCTGTAACACGTAGCTTACTATGATTGCAGGTAATTAAATTTTTATAACCACATTGATTAAAAGAACAGACCCACGTGTACTAGAGACCCTCGTGTGTACCCAAGACCTACGTGTACTAGAGACCCACGTCTGTACCAAAGACCCACGTGTACTAGAGACCCACGTGTACTAGAGACCCACGTGTACCAAAGACCCACGTGTACTAGAGACCCACGTTTACTAGAGACCTACGTGTACTAGAGACCACGTGTGTACTAGAGACCCACGTGTACTAGAGACCCACGTGTACTAGAGACCCACGTGTACTAGAGACCCACGTGTACTAGAGACCCACGTGTACTAGAGACCCACGTGTACTAGAGACCCATGTGTACTAGAGACCCACGTGTACTAGAGACCCACGTGTACTAGAGACCCACGTGTACTAGAGACCCACGTGTACTAGAGACCGACGTGTACTAGAGACCCACGTGTACTAGAGACCACGTGTGTACTAGAGACCCACGTGTACTAGAGACCCACGTGTACTAGAGACCCACGTGTACTAGAGACCCACGTGTGTACCAAAGACCCACGTGTACTAGAGACCCACGTGTACTAGAGACCCACGTGTACTAGAGACCCACGTGTACTAGAGACCCACGTGTACTAGAGACCCATGTGTACTAGAGACCCACGTGTACTAGAGACCCACGTGTACTAGAGACCCACGTGTACTAGAGACCCACGTGTACTAGAGACCGACGTGTACTAGAGACCCACGTGTACTAGAGACCCACGTGTGTACCAAAGACCCACGTGTACTAGAGACCCACGTGTACTAGAGACCCACGTGTGTACCAAAGACCCACGTGTACTAGAGACCCACGTGTACTAGAGACCCACGTGTACTAGAGACCCACGTGTGTACCAAAGACCCACGTGTACTAGAGACCCACGTGTACTAGAGACCCACGTGTGTACCAAAGACCCACGTGTACTAGAGACACACGTGTACTAGAGACCCACGTGTGTACCAAAGACCCACGTGTACTAGAGACCCCCGTGTACTAGAGACCCACGTCTGTACGAAAGACCCCCGTGTACTAGAGACCCACGTCTGTACCAAAGACCCACGTGTACTAGAGACCCACGTGTACTAGAGACCCACGTGTACTAGAGACCCACGTGTACTAGAGACCCACGTGTACTAGAGATCCATGTGTACTAGAGACCCACGTGTACTAGAGACCCACGTGTACTAGAGACCCACGTGTACTAGAGACCCACGTGTACTAGAGACACACGTGTACTAGAGACCCACGTGTACTAGAGATCACGTGTACCAAAGACCCACGTGTACTAGAGACCCACGTGTATTAGAGACCCACGTGTACTAGAGACCCACGTGTGTACCAAAGACCCACGTGTACTAGAGACCCACGTGTATTAGAGACCCACGTGTACTAGAGACCCACGTGTGTACCAAAGACCCACGTGTACTAGAGACCCACGTGTACTAGAGACCCACGTGTACTAGAGACCCACGTGTACTAGAGACCCACGTGTACTAGAGACCCACGTGTACTAGAGATCCATGTGTACTAGAGACCCACGTGTACTAGAGACCCACGTGTACTAGAGACCCACGTCTGTACCAAAGACCCACGTGTACTAGAGACCCACGTGTACTAGAGACCCACGTGTACTAGAGACCCACGTGTACTAGAGACCCACGTGTACTAGAGACCCACGTGTACTAGAGACCCACGTGTACTAGAGACCCACGTGTGTAACAAAGACCCACGTGTGTACCAAAGACCCACGTGTACTAGAGACCCACGTGTACTAGAGACCCACGTGTACTAGAGACCCACGTGTACTAGAGACCCACGTGTGTATTAAAGACCCACGTGTACTAGAGACCCACGTGTACTAGAGACCACCGTGTACTAGAGACCCACGTGTACTAGAGACCCACGTGTGTACCAAAGACCCACGTGTACTAGAGACCCACGTGTACTAGAGACCCACGTGTACTAGAGACCCACGTGTACTAGAGACCCACGTGTACTAGAGACCCACGTGTGTACCAAAGACCCACGTGTACTAGAGACCCACGTGTACTAGAGACCCACGTGTGTACCAAAGACCCACGTGTACTAGAGACCCACGTGTACTAGAGACCCACGTGTACTAGAGACCCACGTGTACTAGACCCACGTGTGTACCAAAGACCCACGTGTACTAGAGACCCACGTGTACTAGAGACCCACGTGTGTACCAAAGACCCACGTGTACCAAAGACCCACGTGTACTAGAGACCCACGTGTACCAAAGACCCACGTGTACTAAAGACCCACGTATGTACCAAAGACCCACGTGTACTAGAGACCCACGTGTACTAGAGACCCACGTGTACCAAAGACCCACGTGTACTAGAGACCCACGTGTACTAGAGACCCACGTGTACTAGAGACCCACGTGTACTAGAGACCCACGTGTACCAAAGACCCACGTGTACTAGAGACCCACGTGTACCAAGACCCACGTGTATTAGAGACCCACGTGTACCCAAGACCCACGTGTACTAAAGACCCACGTACGTACCAAAGACCCACGTGTACTAGAGACCCACGTGTACTAGAGACCCACGTGTACCAAAGACCCACGTGTACTAGAGACCCACGTGTACCAAAGACCCACGTGTACTACAGACCCACGTGTACTAGAGACCCACGTGTGTACCCAAGACCCACGTGTACTAGAGACCCACGTGTACTAGAGACCCACGTGTACTAGAGACCCACGTATGTACCAAAGACCCACGTGTACTAGAGACCCACGTGTACTAGAGACCCACGTGTACTAGAGACCCACGTGTGTACCCAAGACCCACGTGTACTAGAGACCCACGTGTACCAAAGACCCACGTGTACTAGAGACCCACGTGTACTAGAGACCCACGTGTACCCAAGACCCACGTATGTACCAAAGACCCACGTGTACTAGAGACCCACGTGTACTAGAGACCCACGTGTACTAGAGACCCACGTGTACCCAAGACCCACGTGTACTAGAGACCCACGTGTACTAGAGACCCATGTGTACCAAAGACCCACGTGTACTAGAGACCCACGTGTACTAGAGACCCACGTGTACTAGAGACCCATGTGTGTACTAGAGACCCACGTGTACTAGAGACCCACGTGTGTACCCAAGACCCACGTGTACTAGAGACCCACGTG